CTTCCTAAAAATGTTTGGGATTGTGTAATTGTGGTAGGTGAACGAGATAGAATCGTGGAGTAGATTCATGAGAAGCAACCAACATACCTGAGAATGTGGGATTACGTTGTTGAATGATTGTTTGATTTTTATCGTTCCGACATGTTTATTCTTTTCATTTAAATTATTGCTCTTACTTAAACTTGAGATCCATTTGAAATTTCCTTATTTTCTTTCAAAATTATGTATGATATTTTGTAAAGTAAGACCGAACTATTTTATATGTGTTTCTAAACTTTGTTCGAGTTTGGGAGGATGTTGCTACAGAGCTTAGTGCTCACCCCCTACAAACAACATATTTTTCAAATTATGTGTTAGAGGAGGAGCTCGGAGTAGATGAACAGGCACACTGGGAAGCTCCAATAGATGGGAACGTGAATCCCGAGATGGATGTCTAGAATTATATTCTCTTTTGTCCTAGGTTCTAGACTAGGGAATTTATTTTGAGACAATGTAAAGTCTAACCTTTTGTAATTCCGCTACGACATAATAGTTAATTCTTTTGGGATGTAATGGTCATGGTTTGACATATTCTTTTGGAATGATGTTATATACATTATGGATGATGAATGAAATTATTTTATTTATGAATTTTATTAGTTGCTCTTATGATGTAAATGGTTTTAGATTGTAATGACGTCCAAGGGGGCTTTGGGGGCGTTACAATATATATATATATATATATAGAACCAAATGTTTCATTTCATTCAATTATTATTGTAAACCGGCAAAAGAATTTGGGGTAAATATCATTTTTATTAAATCGCACTTTAATGAAAATTGGAGCGTGACATCTTTTAAAGAGTAAGGTTGGGTTAGAGAAAGTTTCTTCTCTTCTGGTATTAATTTCAAATTCAATAGCTTTCCTTTTTGATATTGGATCTTGAATTTGATCTATAAGATCAATAATTAATGTTTGTGGCTTAGTCAAAGTATTTATATTTAATCTATTCATATCCAAAATGGCCTTATAATAATTAGTCTGTGCTTGACAGTGTGATGAACAAGCTATATGTTGTTCTGAGTGTTATTCATCTGACGATGATTCACTCATTTTATCAATTTCATTAATATTACAGAAGTCACCCTTAAAAAATGAAGTAGTTACAGATCCTTCCCCTTCACTTTATGAATTTAAAACTATCCTCAAAATCTTATCTTTAAGATCTTCATAAACAATAAACTCATTTATTTTTTGTCTAGTTAAGCATTTAGAAGCAATATGATCTTCTTTTCCACATTTAAAACACTTAATTGGTTTTTTACCTTTTGATTTATGTTTTTTAGTGTGTTTATTCGTTTTATTTTTTTCATAATTCCTTTTGTGGAATTTTCTTCTTTTCTTATATGATTTATTATAAGATTTTCTTTTAAATGAAGATTTATCTTTTGGAATATCAAGATTATAAACAAATTAATTGCAAAATTCTCCAAGCTCTTTACGACCAATTAATTTTTGTCTCTTAAGTTGAGCTTTAAAGTTTAAATCATTACAGAGAGCTAATCCTTCTGAAATACATTCAGAAATTAATTCTCTAGAAGTGCAATTTTTATAAGGGATTTTAAATTCTTCATGTCTCTATCTTAAACGGATTCTTATTTTTTTAGCAAATAAACTGGGTAGTCTTGATATACATTTTTCTTTTCAAAATTCATTATTAGCGTTTGTTCTTAATAAGACTTTGGCTAAAAATATATCTTTATACCACCTAAAATGTGTTAAAGTGGGACATCTTAAATTCATTAAGAGTTCTTTACTTTTATCCATACTTTGTAAGCTTGTCCCTACAAAGTATTTTAATATTGTTTGTATTAAAGTGTAAACAGCATATTCTTAAATAATTATACTCCCATCTTTAGCTGTTATTATTTTTACTGCATTTAAAATTTCATGTTTTTGAGTTAAACTAAAATATTTGTCCCACCAGCCTCTTAATTGGCCAGTAAATCCTACAGTTATAAATTTAACAGTAGCATGATTTGTGTTACGATTAACTTTACAGACAGATGCATACATTAAAATTTTATGCAAAACTTGATGAATTAAGTATTCTTACATGCCATCAATATTCCATTCACATATAGAAAAGGCATCTGACAGTTGATCAATAAAAAAGTTTTCCTAATATAAAATATCTTGAAGGATTGATCTGTGATAATAAGCCTTCATGGGGGGTGCTTGTGAATATGTATTATTTTGTCTTTTAGGTTTAGAATACCCAATTTTATTTATTTTTTTAGACTACATTAGGTGTAAAAAATCTTCAAATTATTGGATTCAGTTTTAAATTGCTCTACACTCTCTGTTTGAGAAATTACATTTAATGACAAATTTTGTAATTTCTTTTTAAGTTCATTTATGAACTCATCTTCAACTTTGTTGTGCAGGTTAAATGTTGAAGTATCAACATGAGGCTTAATGTTCACCTTTTCAATTTCAACCGATTTATTTCTTAAAGATTGGGAAGACAATTTTTCTTGTCTTTGTTCCTTTATTAAATTTTCAATTTTACTCAAGTGTTGCCCTACCACTTGTAGACAAATATTTGTGTAATTGTTTTGTTTTATGAAAATATTTCTTCCTATATCGTTGGTGTCCTTTAAAGAGTAGCAAGTATTTAAAATTACTTCACCTACCTCATTGGAAGCTAGCTTTATACCTTCGGTAGTGGGAGGATAGAAACTATTTATACTTTTGTCATCCAATGTTTCCCATTTATGTTGAAATTGCTCAATTACATTTAATTGATTCATAGTGGGTAGAGCATGATAGGTTAAAAACCATGTAACAAAAGGAATTACCCTTTTTTCCCTTTCTATATAATGGTAAAACATTTCTTTATACCTTTTAAGGTCTTCTTGATTTATAGTTTTAAAATACCAAGTTCTAAATATCTCATATTTAGATAGATAAAACTTTTCATTAATTTATTTTCTATTAATTATAAATTCTTTTGGGCTTAAATCCATAGAAATTTATATTTGAAATCCGATTTCATATGGAGTTGAGTCACGATCTTCCTCTTAGGAAGATTCATTATTTTGCCTATAAATTCCATGTGGATTTTGATTACAAGAGGTTTTAATTCTTTCAATTACAGACTCTTTTCCCCTTCTCCTGTCTGAAATAAAAGAAGTGGACCTCCTAGTAGGAGTATAATATGCCGATCAAGCTTTAGATTGTAAACTTCAAAAAATTATTTTGTGTAGAAAATTTTATCATTACATCTCCTTCAGATGATTGGGAGATGTGTTACCTCTTTATTTATTTCTAGTTTTTTAGGAACCACAAATTTCAATTGTCAGGTTTCTGGAAACTGGATCTCTGACCATTTAATAGTTTTGGGAATTTTAATTTTATTTTTAATCATATTTGTTTCAATTAAAGTTGTTTGACCTTTATTATTATAAAGCCTAGCTTCTAGACATAAAATATTCATCACTTTATAATATACCCTATAGGTCAAAGTCATTATCGTTGCTCCATCTTTAAAATTGTAACCATAAATTTGAATATTACAAGTTATAATATCTAATATATTTTTATCCATTAAAGATATTGATAAAATTAAAAAACAATTAAAATAAAGTGGACTAGTACTTAAGCTGGATTTCATAACTGCCATTAGAGATTGATTTAAATCTAAACATCTAGCATCTCTTAATACTACCATAAAAGAGACATTTAATCCTTGAAGAGTTAATGACCCTTTAATGCCACCGGGACTAATCCAATATATAAAATTTATAATTTTCTTGAGCCTTTAAGATTTCTCTTTCCGTTAATAGTTGTAAGGTGCATTTGATCAAAGGGAATTGTCTTTTCTAATGTTTTAATTGTTAAGCTTGATTTAAAGTTAAAAGTTCCAATATTATATATCTTCTTAGTTGGATACTGGGATATATCCCAGTTTTACAATTTATTTTTAATATGTGAGAACTCAATTTCTTCCATATTTTTAATATAAGCATCTTTATGTTTATTATGAAATTTAAATAGGCTTAATGTCATGTTTGTTCTTCAGCAAATTTTCTATTAACCTATATGTTTCACTATTACCTTCATATGTTGCTACAGTAATTCGTCTTTTAATATTATTACAGTAATTCTATATTGACTGTTACTATAATAATTCCACTATAATGATTTTCTTTCAATTTCTTACTCTTGCTGTCAAAGATTTACGGGAAACACTTTTAATAGAAGGTCACTTTCCACATAAAATAGATGATATGTTCAGGGTAAATTCATAGAAGGTCACTTTCCATCCACTTTTCATTTTCCTACTATCCGATAATTAGTAGCACATGGTGTCAGTGGTATTTTCAGCAAATATAAAGAATTTTTCTAAAATTATGTCCATATACAGGGGTGCCAATAAAATTTACCCTATAATATATGAATCAACAATTCCTAAACAAACACAGGTAAGTACAAAATGTTATGTTCATGTCTTGAATGGGATTCAAATCTTGCAAATTTACTCTCGATTTTTCAGTAATTTACAGCGTATTGATGGAGAACTAATTATATACGATGAGTTTTACTAGAATTCTTATTGAGTGGTATATCAACAAAACAAAAAAAACGCAGTTGAACAAAGCCAAATCCACTCAAAAGGTACATCGGAAAACCTCATGAAACCTTGTCAATGAAGAGTAATTGTAATATTATAGAAATTATCCCCGCCTATTAAACTTGTGTGTAATAACAATGATGATTAAATTCGTAAAACTCAGTAAATTTTGCACTACATGAAGAATGCATTTTTGTGAAAATGATTATTTTTAATTTCTTTTTTTTTTTTGGAATTATTTAAAGATAAGATGGTTGAAGAGTGGGTGGGTGAAGCTATTCACAGCTAGACACCGATTTGCATTGAATGTCCATAAAAGATAAAACGACCCTATGTAACAAATTTATTACCTACAATTGACTAAACCATAACTTCACTGTTCTAGCTTTCTCTTTCAATGCAACTGTCCCATGCATTTCCTTGGCTCTATGCTTCTCTCTCTCTCTCTCTCTCTCTCTCTCTCTCTCTCATGACCTGTTCTATATATGTCGATGCAGGGGTTCTGTTTTAGTGGGGATAAGTTAAAGCTCTCTGTTTCTGGGTGTATGTATCAAAGTTGCAGAGAAGAGGAGGGTCTTGTTGTGGCTACTTTAAGAAGGTGATGAATACGTTCAGACTGATAACAGGTATACCAGGCCCAAGTGGGTTTGGATCAGCTTCAACTGCTGAACAGGTCACTGAAGGGATTGATGCTACCAACCTCACTGCTATTATTACTGGTTAGATATTTATTTGATTCAATTATTACATAATCTTACTATATTTTTACCATGAATTATATATAATCTTAATTCGTGCTAATTCGGTTGTGGATTGATTATATATTCTCTGAAATAGGGTCGATGAATATGTTTTTTTATGAATTTGTACTTGTCAAATAAGACTTTGTTGAATTGACTTTCTCATGTGTATACGGGTCAACGTGACCAAGCCACCCCCACCCCCACCCCTAAACAAAAACCACCACCACATCCACACACACCCTTTACTGTTTTCCACCCAACCCACCTCCACCGCATCACCACAACTCTCTGCCACCACCACCTACCCCCCACCCCCCACCAAAAGAAGATAAAAAACAAATCGTCCTCCACCACCCGTGACCAATCCTCGCCGTCAACCGTTTTTCACTCCTTCACGACCCCCATTACAGTCTCACTCGTTGACAAGACGAACCCAAAAACTCAGCCACCGGCTACTCACTTCTATTTTCCAGAGAGGAGAGAAAGAGAGAGAGAGAGAACTGAAACCCGAACCTGTTGGGTTGGATTTGGCCCATTTGATCTTTGGGCTTTTTGTATCTATCTTTTGTTCCACTTGATAAATCTGGATAGTGAAAATAATAATTATTTTAAAATGTTATATTTTTGAGGAATTTTCATTGAGAAAATAATTATTTTAAAATGTTAATTCAATTTCATCTTAAGTTGGACTCAAACACACTCTACACTTTGCCTAACTGAGATTGAACCCGAGTAGAAGGAGAGAATTCGAGTTGGATTTCAATTCCAGTAATGTTTGATCAAATTTTGGGACCAAATCAAGAACTCAAATGACATGACAGCATATTATTTAGAGTCTTATTCAGTCCAAATGACATGACACCAAATAAATAAGTCAAAGTCAGCTGCCATGTCATTTGAGCTCTTGATTTGATCCCAAAATTTGGCCAGTAAAACATTACTCTTTAAGATTTCAGTGTAGCATTACTCTTTGGGATTCAGGATGTTTTGTCCTGACCTAAACCACGTATTGAAAATCTTTGCCCGGTTTGGTTCAGGTTGATGCAGGCTATTGGCCTAACCAAGCCAAATAAATTACACAAACTCTCTTTGGTTTTGGCAGCCTTCCCTCATTTCATCTTTTCTCTTCAACTTCTTCTGACCCATTTGTATTGTCTCTTGAAGTTTAAAAAACGTTCAAGCATTCCCACCTGTCTACTTCACTAGTACTCTAATGAAAACTTTAATTAATGTGCAGGAGGGGCTAGTGGGATTGGGTTAGAGACAGCCAGAGTTTTAGCTCTTCACAAAGCTCATGTTGTTATTGCAGCAAGGAACATGGAGGCTGCAAATCAAGCAAAACAGCTCATCCTTAAGGACAACGATACTGCTCGTATTGATGTTATGAAACTTGACCTTTCCTCCATTAAGTCAATTAAGGCTTTTGCTGATAACTTTAATGCTCTTAACATTCCCCTCAACATCCTGATGTGAGTCCCTGTGACTGTGTGTGTTTGTTTGTGTGTAATATCAAGATAGATAATCTTAACTCGAATGATTACCAATAATTTTTTTATGACAAAGGAAAAGATTGAATTTTCAGAAACAATGCTGGTGTAATGTTCTGCCCCTTCCAGCTTTCAGAAGATGGAATAGAGATGCAATTTGCGACAAATCACCTCGGTATGGTAGTACACATTAGTGTCAATATGCTGATTAATCTTTTTTTAATGATTCTTTTTTTGATGATCTTTATTCTCAAATTAATTGCTCATTTCTAGGTCATTTCTACGTGACGAACCTTCTCCTTGACAAAATGAAGGATACAGCAAAAGCTACTGGAATTGAGGGAAGGATAGTGAACTTGTCATCAGTAGCCCACCTTCACACTTACGGAGGAGGGATAAGATTCGATAACATCAATGATCAAAGGAGGTAAGCCAATCCGGGAATTGTTCCTCTTTTTCCTCAATGATTTCTACAAGTCGCTTGTTATGTAAAACTAGCATCATCTGTCTATTCCTCTGTTGCCCCAATAGTTATTCAGACAAGAAGGCGTATGGACAATCCAAATTAGCAAACATATTACATGCCAGTGAGCTCTCTCGACGTTTACAGGTGGTTCTTGTGCTTCTGTTTTCAAGTCGGCTGTTTTACAAATGGAAAACTTAGAAATTTAACATTTGACGAAACATGATGCTGAGAAAATATTGCCTGGTTTATATGAATGATATGACCTCTGCCATTCATTTTCTTTACTCCATTAAGCAACAAATGACTTCTTCCTGAATCTCAACATTCTATTTGGGAAGTCTATTAGCGACTCGTTGAAATCATTTGTTCTGACAATTATATTACTGTGTCGGTCACAAATATTTATACTTCTCCTTGTTTATCACGGCATTGATTTGTTGTCGGAAATCATTTTAGTTGGGTACCTAAATAAACCACTGTTTTTGAAATTTCTTGCTCCTTGGTCTTTATTGGGAATTGATGCATATACCAAACCAAAAACATGTTCTTCCATTAAGATTTGCCACAATGATTTTCTGGTATACAAGTTAAACTGATGTGTTATTAGCAAAGGGGTTCAAGCCATTTTTTCAAGGGAGAAGTAGTTAGCAAAGAAGCCAAACATTGGGGTTGTTTCAGTAATAACTTTTGAGTCACATACTTGTACTTAACTTTTTAAAATTTTCTATGCTTCCATTTTGTTATTATGCTGCTTCACTTGAAATGCAGGAAGAGGGAGCAAATATTACAGTCAACTCTGTGCATCCTGGTTTGATAATGACAAATCTCATGAGACATTCTGCTGTTCTAATGAGTATGCATTTAAGTACTGTGCAGTTGAAGAAAGACTGGGAATGATTTTGTTTTTCCCCGTAATTTTAATTATGTTCTTTTGGCAGGAATTTTGAAGGTATTTACTTGTATCCTATGGAAAGACATCCCTCAGGTAAATGAATACATGTCTCAATGAAGAAATGTATTCATTCCAAACCCATAAATAATTATGACTTTCCTGCTTTTGTGAGCTTCTAATGAGGAAACTAAATGGGTTCTTCATCAACTTCATTGACATTTTTTCCTTTCCTTCTTTCAAGTTTTGTGCAATTGCCTTGATGTTATTTTTCCTTCTTCTCGCAATCAAAAGAAGAATCTCTCAAAATGGACAACCGACTTCAAAGTTATGAAAATTTGAAGTTTTCCACCATCTTCTAAGAGGCATCACCTTCTTACAAATTCTTTCTCTTCCTCCTCGATGTCCTTACTTTCTTCCAACTTTTTTCTGCAGTTAATTTCATTTACCTAATATGGATCCTTACAAAGGTAGAAGAAATAGATTCATAACACTATCTACTTCTGTCAAGTTCATCTTCTCCTCCACAGCCCACACTAGCAATATTAGCATATGCTTCTTATGTTTTAGGATTCCTTAATAACCTGGTTTGCTGGTATAGTAACTAAAGGATGCTTGTTTTTTGTTATGTTTTTCAGGGTGCAGCCACGACATGCTATGTCGCCCTCAACCCCAAATTGAAACGTGTGACTGGAAAGTATTTCCTGGACTGCAATGAGTATAAACCTAGCACGTTTGCTAGAGATGAAATTTTGGCAAAGAAACTGTGGGATTTCAGCAACAAGTTGGTTAACTCAGCTCAAAACACTTGAAACATCTTTTTCACTAAGACTAAAGTCCAGGATCTTTTGTTTGTATGTACAATGAACTAGTGTACAATGCAGCAGGCCTAATGTTCAATTCTGTTTTGCTTCCACTCCCCCCCCCCCCCCTTTTCTCCCCCCCAAGGCAGTGGCTGTGCTGACATTCTCTAGTTCCCTAATTTATGTGCATTGGGCTGTAACTAGTGGCTCAGATGATTGCTTGTGGTTTGATAATTCCTAGTTATTGTACCGTCAACTTCTGGAAATCATTTATGATGAAGAAGAAGAGATTTAAGAGAATGATTTAGAGTTCTTACAAGTGAAACCATGCATTACCATTGTCATCAAATCGAGTATAAATTAAACACGACTCAAAAAGAAAGTAATGAGAAAACTTAAGCAATAATCACACCTAATCCATCTAAACCCCATCAAGTATACCAATTTCAAAAAATTTGTCAACTTCAAAAGCCATCCTTGTCCTTTCCAAGGTTAGGTGATGAATCCATCCCATCATCAAATCTCTCTCCTTTTCTCTCTCAATGTGTTTCATTATCCACCTCCCACAACCCTAAAGCTCTAACTACATAAGCTGAGCCAGCGACGATCATGGCGGCGAAAACCGGAGGAACCAACAAGTCCATCTTAGATCTCCGAAACAGCTGAGCCGGGAAACAAAACACCTCCGCCGGAACATCCAATGGAACCCTCACGGACCCTTCTGAATTACACATACTAGAGAAAGAATAACTCGGAGTTATGGCCGAGACAAAAGCAAACTCCGGCGAGAACGAGGCCACCATCACCGTCGCGGTCAAAAGGGCCGTCCATGTAGCTGCATAGAGGAATAAAGGCCACCGTGGGGAGACGAAAACTCTTTGCAACATGGAATGAAGAAGAGAGAGACTCATTCTAATAGACACCGAGCTTGAAGAAATGTTCAGAATGTATTAGCACATGAATGTATTTATATGGGTGGAGATGGACCTAACCTCAACTACTTTTCAGAAATATGGAGTTTAGTTGTTGATGGTGGAGGTAAAAACGCATATATCAACGAATATATATACAGAGAGAGAGGTTTGACTTGCTCCTATATAATAAAGCTGATTAGCTGGTTTGGTAAGTGAGGAGGGCAACTAAAACGGTTATTTTAGGCACAGGTGGCATGGGCTTAGAGTGAACCATACGCATGGTGACTTCTAATATTTATTTGGATTTGTTATCGATACAATAGTTATCATGGTGCATATATCATAAATTAAATTAATATATAGGTTAATCTCTCAATTTGTACACCAAAAGATTACTTAAATTTTAATTTATACCCTCAAAATTTAAAAATATCAATTTATATCCTGAAAGACATAAATTCGTATCAATGTGCACTTGAACTTAACTTCATCCATTTTGCTGTTAAAAAAGTTTAGACTAATTATAAATTATACTATTCAAAGTTTAAATATTTTATATTTATGATCTAAAAAGAATTACATCCATTAAATCTCGTTAAATAGTTCTCAGTTATATAATATCATAACGTCTTCGCGTCGTGTTCGAGTCAATAAAAAAAATATTTTTACAACTTAAAAAACTATAAAATACCTATTTTTTTGCCTTCAATATTCATTAAATAGCTATTTTTTGTCTATAATTAGACACAAACCTTTTGATTGGCCGATCAAATTAAAGTTAGATACAAATAACACAACTGCAAAAAGAAAATAGTTATTTAACGAGTATTATAGGCAAAAAAAAAGTATTTTTAAATTTTTAAAAAATATTAAAAAAATATTTTATGAATTGCGTAAAAATGAAATATATTACACAACATAATTGACTCGACACGGAAATATTTTGTGTTAAAAATATTTTTTTATTGACTCAAACACTACACAAAAATATTATGACATGAGACAATTGAGAGCTATTTAACGAGTATTAATAAAAGAAATTTTTTTGAATCATAAGTGTAAAATATTTAAACTTTGAGGGGTGCAATTTATAATTAACTCAAACTTTTTTAACTGCAAAATAAATGGCAATTAGTCTCAAATGCACATTGATACGCATTTATATCTTTCAGGATATAAATTAATATTTTTAAACTTTGAAGATATAAATTAATATTCAAATAATCTTTCAATTTCCAAGTTGAGATTAAGCCCTAATATTATTGCTATGATGTTCTAACAGAGGAGAAAGCACACAAGAGCTTCTGACCAAAAACCCAAAGGAGGAGCACGATAGAACTTCAAAGAATACGACATAAGAAATCAATATTTGTTTTTGGCGAAAATTAAATCTTATAAATGATGATCAACTATGCTAAACACAATTAGTAGACTCTCCTTAAATTTTAAGGGTTGGCAAAGTGAGTTCTCGATAAGGGTGTCAATCGTGTCGCGTCGTGTTATTTTTGTGTCGTGTCGGATTCATGTTAATATCTGCATTAATAACAAATTATTTAATTCGACAACAATTCATATAAAAAATTATAAAAGTCTTATTTTCTGTTTATAATACTCCTTAAATAATTATTTTTTATCTACAGTACTCATTAATAGTGTGTTGTTGACCCTTAATTTGATTCATTTATTACTCGTATCAATTAACCATTGTAGCACTGCCAACTTAGGAAACTCTCCAACATTAGATAGGAAACACATATCGATTATATTATAGTTTTCCTTGATACTACACTAGATTACCACCGTGATTAGTAATCCACATTTAAGTCCTACTTATCTAGTCTTTTTTTTTATTAGGATTAATAGCACTTTTGATTCATAAAATATGCATTTTTTATCAATTTCCTCTTCAATATATTAATTTTGTCAATTTAATTACTAAAATATTCAATTTGTGTTATTTTAATCCCCACATAAATGAACCGGTAAATTTTTTAATAGAAGTGGGCAAGTGTTATTTTTTTTAGACAGTATCACGTGTCAAATATGTGATCATTCCATCAAAAAATAACACTACCTACTTCTTATCTATTTTTTTGTATTATTATCTTTTACTTTTTGGGGAAAAAAATGTCCTAAAATTCATATAAATAATCCATTTTCTACTTGCATTTCTTAACATGAAGGAAATTCAAAGCTGAAACAAAAGTACTTGTTCCAGAGAAAATAATTATTATAAATCAAAAAGAACCCTAAAATGAGAGGACTCCAATGCAAAAAACACCATCAAAAACTTGAAGTAGTAAAAAAATTTAGGTATTCAAACACAAATAAATTTAAAAAGGCGAATCGTTCTTCGGATAAAGCAATCCCAAATCCAAGAATGCGGCTGAATCCCGGATGCAGTAGACGGCAGCAATGCCACTGTGAATGTCGCAGAAGCTTTTTGGTGAGGGGTCAAAATTGCATATGCATGCTTTACTTCCAAGGCCACTTTAACAAACAGGTCGGCATTAACCACGGGTCTTAGAGTATGACCAGGTCGACCTCAGGGCGCCACCACCACTGCCAAATGAGGGTCTGCGGTCATCACGCCACCTGTCACTTTCTTGCGATGCTTGATCATCCTGTCTGCCGCCACTACCCCACCTATCTGCTTGTAGAGGTGGGGCCTGGCTCAAACTTTCACCCTTGTCCCGTTTGAACCTTGGGACATACTTTCCAGGTGCTGGTGCAGCTGCAGTTGGAGCCACAGGAACTGGCTCTGATGGGTGGGCAATGGCAGAAGGCTCAGAAGGCCTTGGAGGGGCAGCAGTGGGTTTCCTAAAAACCTCCTCTTCTTTCCGCCGCCTTTCTTTCTCTTCCAGTTCCAGCTCTCGTTGCCTCTGCTTTTCGGCTATCTCATCCAACTTGGCCTTGCGTTCAGCGTCCTCTTTCCTCCGCCTCTCTGCTTCTGCAAACAGAATGCCGACAAGACTCCACATTCATCAATCACAGTAGGATAGGTGTTCAGTTATATGAAACTGATTGCAAATAGTCAAAAACACATTAAACAAAGCAAATAAATTACACAAGAGGAAGCATCACACAGGGACTCGTGTGCAGACATAGCAGAAACATTAAAAGCAAGTACTCGACTGAGAATTACGCAAGATACCATGTACACGTCCTTACAATAGAGTAACAGTCAAACAGATGCAAGGTTTAAAATAATTGCAGGAACATGCAAGCAGAATGCAAGAAGCAAAAGCAAGGACCGGTTCCATGTAATGAGAAAAGCAAAGAATCGGTAAAAGACACAAAAATGCTGGCGTATCAGACTACCAGAACATGTTACAAGCAGCAAAAGTGAGTATTTCAAGAAGTGGGCAAAAACTATTAGCTACTAAATAGGAAAGACCTAGAATTTAAGATGAAAGAAACCTTAAATATTACATGTATCTACTAAAATCAAATTTGCAATTTAGTTACATTGCATTTGCGTATATGTGCACAAGGAGCTCGAATCGAATCAGTATAACTTAAAATTGCCATTAATTAAAATAAAAAGAAACAGGCATCCAATGGTAAAAATTGCACACACACGGACAGAAAGGATGATAACTCTACAGAAGCACAGACCAAAATACAAAGGACAAAGATGAGATGTCAAAATGAGGGAGTATGACTGGCTCATTTCAAAGCACATTGATAGAGTTTCAAAAGCATGTTGCTCTACCAAACTACAGACAACCACTTCACCTTCTTAAAACAAAAACACATACCTTCCCGCTTTCTGGCCTCCTCCGCTTCACGAAACTTTTCCAGTCTCTCCTCCTCTGATTTCAGATTGAATATCATCTTCCTCCTAACCTCCCTCTCCTGCTTCCTTGATTGAATAATTTGATTGACTCGCTCCTCCCTCTCCTCTTTCAATCTGCTGAACTCCATTTCCCTACGACTAACAACCCTTTCTTGGAATAGTTCCTGTAAAATAAAGAAAATGATGTTTGATGAGGCCAAAAACATTTGATGCCAAGAAAATGCTCCATTATTGTGAACAATGAAAGGGCAACTCAAGTACTGACAGATGACCAGCAAGGGAAACATAAGAAGTTCAAGGGATTGCACTGCAAAATTCAGGAACATGGAAGCATGAGTGCTTCAAAGATTTACAAAAAACACAGGGTAGCTCAGTGAACTACCAAACATCTGGCAGAGCCAACTCTGTCCTTCTGAATCCAGGAGCTGGACCTGCCAATTTCAATAAATATTCGCAACACCCAAATTTTTGACCTGAACAACGCTTCTCAATTTAAATTTGTGGTTTTAATACTAATGTCAATTTTCAGACAACTTTAGTGAAATTGTAAAATATCAAGACATGTACTTTCATCTTGACCTAATTAGTGCAATAGTAGAAGACAACAACGATGCCAATGATGATGATGGAAAAGAAATACCCATTGCTGTCACTGCCCGGAGGTAAGCCAAAACCCTCTGTTGGATTAACCAAAGTGAAACTAAAACCATTTTTTCTCCCTCTTCAACAAGTTGAAAGAGTGGAGATGACAAAACGATAAAAAAGATGACCAATATTTCGACAACAAAAAGAATCTTTAAATTTCACCAGAATGAGTAGCTGCTGGTTTGATAGACAGCAGTAAAACTAGAATCAGAAGTTTGTTCCTCCCTTCCTACAGCATCCTGGCATAAGAAGAAACACATGGTTAGACTTCCTTATGTCAAAGGATTTAAGGAAGACAATATTCCCACTAAGTCTAGACCAATCCAAATGAACCATGAAACTACTGAGATTTGTAAAAAAGAAATCACAGAGTTACTAAGAAATGGTATCATTAGGAATAGCAAATCACCTTGGTCTTGTCCTGCTTTCTATGTAGTCAAAAACGCAGAATTAGAAAGAGGAGTCTCAAGGTTAGTCATAAACTATAAACCTTTAAACAAGGTTTTAGAATGGATAAGGTACCCTATACTTAACAAACAGGATTTGATAAAAAGACTCAATAAGTCTACTATCTTTTCCAAATTTGACCTTAAAAGTGATTTTTGGCAAATACAGATCCACCCTATGGATAGGTATAAAACCGCTTTTACCACCCCTTTCGGACATTATGAATGGAATGTCATGCCTTTTGGGTTAAAAAATGCCCCAAGTGAATTCCAGAACATAATGAATGAAGTCTTTAATTGTATCAGTCATTTTCTATTGTCTATATAGATGATATACTTATCTTCTCCAAGACAATAGAAGAACATTGGAAGCACCTCTATGCTTTCAATACAATTATCCAACAAAATGGATTAGTATTATCTGCATCCAAGATTAAATTATTCCAAACCTCAGTAAGGTTTTTAGGATACAATATCCAAGATTCTACTATCACTCCTATTAGTAGAGCCATCCAGTTTGCCGATAAATTTTCAGATGAAATCTTAGACAAAACCCAATTACAAAGGTTTTTAGGTTCCCTAAATTATGTTTCTGACTTTTATCAGGATCTTAGGAAAACCATCAAACCTCTGTATGACAGGCTCAAAGGAAATCCTTCTCCTTGGACCACTGTTCATACTTCTATTGTTCAACAGGTCAAGAAGTTCATAAAAACTCTTCCCTGTCTTGGTATTCCGTCCGTTGATTCTTTTAAAATCATCCAAACTGATGCCTCTGATGTTGGTTATGGTGGAATCCTCCTTCAGAGAGAATCTCCTAATTCTCCTGAACAAATTGTTCGATTCCATTCTGGTATTTGGAATAAAACTCAAAAGAATTATTCCACTATTAAAAAAGAGATTTTATCTATTGTCCTGTGTATCTCTAAATTCCATGATGATATATTAAATCAGAAATTCCTTGTGCGGGTTGACTGTAAATCAGCCAAGGATGTTTTAACCAAAGATGTCAAAAATATAGCTGCTAAGCAAATTTTTGCTAGATGGCAATCTATTTTAAGTATTTTCGATTTTGATATAGAATATATCAAAGGAGAATATAATTATATTCCTGATTTCCTAACCAGAGAATTTTTGCAGGAACCTCATGGAAGACAGGAAACCTAGTTCATCCGGAACTTCCTCCAAAAATACGGGGGGAAAGAAGGATAAACAAAAATAAACCAAATCTGAACCTGACTTGCCAGTAGCCTTGTCAAACAGATTTTTATCATTGGAAACTACTCAGCCCAATAGGCCAGTAGCCCAATCTGCCTTGGTTATCCGGCCCGTAGCCGTATCAACCACTGTCAATCCACTAACCTTTACCCAAATGGCCCAACAGCCACTTGTCAGGACCACTAGTGCCATGACAAACCCTTATAAGGCCTCACAACCCTTTGCAGCCCAATTAGGCCCAAAGGTTGATTATGTCAAAGCCTATTCCCAGAATGTTCTAGCCATTGAACTAGCCCATTCTAAATATAAGGATCCAAAAGACCTTGTAAAGGCCTACCTCCCAAAAGGTTGGACCTACATTCCAGTAGACTTGGAAAAACCCCATAGTTTTTACCAAGATATTCTCTACTACACCAAATCTATCCATACCAAGCCCATCCTTGATAAGATTAACCCAAATAAGGTTCTCTATCATAGCTTGGTCATAACCAAGATTATTTCTGTTGAGGAACGGGGTTCTCATCCTTCTTTGCTCAGAGAACTTCCCTTTCACACCAGACATTTTAATTACTATGACTACATTGAGTCATGGTCAAAAATATTACTCTACCAAAATGAGGATTTGTCCCATTCTTGGTTCTTGAATTTTCATAAAGATTTCAAAAGTCATATTCCTGCATGGTTTAAACAGTGGTGGCATCAACATGGTCCCATTGATGAAATCTTTCCAGCTGATCTCAAAGATCAGATCAATATCTTCTACTCCCTTTATCGTCCTAGTAAACAGGAGTCCCCATTTCCTTTATTACTAATATTTATTTGCAAGTACAAAGTCCCCTGGATACTCAAATGGCAATGGGAAATTGTTGGATTTAATTTAACCCGGCAATTTTATGCCAAGTGGTGGCCCAGGTTTCAGCATAGTGACATTATTGTCATGGTGAAACAGGACTTCCCTGTAAGGGTCCCAACTCCAGTAGTAGTTCCAGGCCCCTTACAACCGGCAACACCAGTGAAGGAATTGCCCGCTCAATCAAGCCAGGCTAAACCTCCTATAGCACAGATCAGACCAGAAGAATCTTCATCTAAAGGTTCTAAAAGCTCCAGCAAGAAATCCAGCAAGAAGAAGTCCAAAGCAAAACTCCTCAAGAAGCTCTTGGATCAACTTGACTCAGACAGTGACTCATCGTCTTCCCAAGGATCTTTCACAACAGATCTTCCTCCAGGCTATGCTCAGGATCCGTATGAAGGAATGGAAGATTTTGATGTTGATGATCTCACTCCTGACCTTGCACTCCCGTGAATTATGATTTACATAAAGTGGCTTCAATCACTACTTTCTTCAAAAGAGAAAGAAAAGCTGTCCACTCTGTGTAAAAATAATATCACAAGTCTGCATAGGATCCCCTTTCCCTAAAAGCAGGATTCTCACAGACAAATGCAGGGCCCATAATCTGCTTTTCCACCGAAAGATGGATTCTCAGGACAGACAGACAGGACCCACTAGTCCCTTCAGCATGTCCTAGTTACCCGGGTAAAAGAATCTTATTTCACTTTTCAGCCGAAAGCAAGAAAGTGAATTTACTTTACCCTGAGTAAAAGAGAAAGGCAGAATGATTGTAGAAGGAGAATCCGGAGTCCCTTACCTCTATATAAGGCAGCTCCCTCTCCTCAGAAAAACCCAAGTTTTTAAACTTCAGACACTTTCTCTAGTCTGATTTCAGAACTACATTACAAGCCTCTAATACTTGTAAACCTACCCCTCACTTGTAAAGCCTTCTTCAAAGAATGCAAAAGAAGAGCTCTATCTCCCTTTTAATTACTGCTTATTCCCACTAGACTATTAGCTCTGATACCAAATATAGACATACATGCGGAATTCATAGAAGATATAGAAATGAAAAGAGACTGATAAATAAAGAAATATTTCAATAAGAAAATAAATACTTACAACACTAGAACTAATGGTCTAGTGGGAACAAGCAGTAATTAAAAGGGAGATAGAGCTCTTCTTTTGCATTCTTTGAAGAAGGCTTTACAAGTGAGGGGTAGGTTTACAAGTATTAGAGGCTTGTAATGTAGTTCTGAAATCAGACTAGAGAAAGTGTCTGAAGTTCAAAAACTTGGGTTTTTCTGAGGAGAGGGAGCTGCCTTATATAGAGGTAAGGGACTCCGGATTCTCCTTCTGCAATCATTCTGCCTTTCTCTTTTACTCAGGGTAAAGTAAATTCACTTTCTTGCTTTCGGCTGAAAAGTGAAATAAGATTCTTTTACCCGGGTAACTAGGACATGCTGAAGGGACTAGTGGGTCCTGTCTGTCTGTCCTGAGAATCCATCTTTCGGTGGAAAAGCAGATTATGGGCCCTGCATTTGTCTGTGAGAATCCTGCTTTTAGGGAAAGGGGATCCTATGCAGACTTGTGATATTATTTTTACACAGAGTGGACAGCTTTTCTTTCTCTTTTGAAGAAAGTAGTGATTGAAGCCACTTTATGTAAATCATAATTCACGGGAGTGCAAGGTCAGGAGTGAGATCATCAACATCAAAATCTTCCATTCCTTCATACGGATCCTGAGCATAGCCTGGAGGAAGATCTGTTGTGAAAGATCCTTGGGAAGACGATGAGTCACTGTCTGAGTCAAGTTGATCCAAGAGCTTCTTGAGGAGTTTTGCTTTGGACTTCTTCTTGCTGGACTTCTTGCTGGAGCTTTTAGAACCTTTAGATGAAGATTCTTCTGGTCTGATCTGTGCTATAGGAGGTTTAGCCTGGCTTGATTGAGCGGGCAATTCCTTCACTGGTGTTGCCGGTTGTAAGGGCCTGGAACTACTACTGGAGTTGGGACCCTTACAGGGAAGTCCTGTTTCACCATGGCAATAATGTCACTATGCTGAAACCTGGGCCACCACTTGGCATAAAATTGCCGGGTTAAATTAAATCCAACAATTTCCCATTGCCATTTGAGTATCCAGGGGACTTTGTACTTGCAAATAAATATTAGTAATAAAGGAAATGGGGACTCCTGTTTACTAGGACGATAAAGGGAGTAGACGATATTGATCTGATCTTTGAGATCAGCTGGAAAGATTTCATCAATGGGACCATGTTGATGCCACCACTGTTTAAACCATGCAGGAATATGACTTTTGAAATCTTTATGAAAATTCAAGAACCAAGAATGGGACAAATCCTCATTTTGGTAGAGTAATATTTTTGACCATGACTCAATGTAGTCATAGTAATTAAAATGTCTGGTGTGAAAGGGAAGTTCTCTGAGCAAAGAAGGATGAGAACCCCATTCCTCAACAGAAATAATCTTGGTTATGACCAAGCTATGATAGAGAACCTTATTTGGGTTAATCTTATCAAGGATGGGCTTGGTATGGATAGATTTGGTGTAGTAGAGAATATCTTGGTAAAAACTATGGGGTTTTTCCAAGTCTACTGGAATGTAGGTCCAACCTTTTGGGAGGTAGGCCTTTACAAGGTCTTTTGGATCCTTATATTTAGAATGGGCTAGTTCAATGGCTAGAACATTCTGGG